AAGGCTGGACTCGAACCGCTGACGTGTCGACCATTTCTGGCCGGCAACTTTCAGCGTCATTAAGCCGCTGCGCCACCACGTCCCCCCTTCTATACTGAATACTTTCTTCAAAATGTTTATAATATGCTCACATTTCAAATTCCCATGAAACCTACCTAGTGAAGGCGTGTCGGGCAACCGATTCATTCATCTGCCTACAGCCCAATGGTTTTGACCTGAAAGGGATCCTACCCTCATCCTACTCATCTGTTTCTTGAATGGGTGGTTTCACATAATATTGTGGATAACTTTCCCCAAAGATCCTTTGGAGAAACCATAGCAGGAGATTTAAAACTGGGTTCATTTCAATTGCACACATGCTGCTGGTTTAGTATCTCTACAAGTAATGAACGGTCCATTTCAATGGGGCTTCGGGGGGGCAGTGTCACATTTTTGGTTCTTGTGACTTTGTTTCCAAAAAGAATGGCTTCCAGATGTGTAGGCTTCATCGTTCTAACCAGAGGCATTTTCTTCTTTTTTCCCCCACAGAATCCTGAATTCGTGCACAGATTTAATGAAGGTGAGGGATCATTCATTAAACAGAACTCCATCTGGTGCCTCATGGCAAGAAACTCTTCCCCACTGCCGTTTTTGGTCAGATGTGTGGATCATTGGAAAACCCTTTTATTTAAGGCCCCACGGTAGAAATTGCTCTGACTTCAGACCCTTTCTTGCGAATGGCGTGCTCGCACCCAGCAATCAGCTGAATTTTTCTGCTTTCTCCTCTGGTTTCAGGCTATCCGGCAGCTTGTCATGACCTCCACACAGTTGCAGAAGGAGATTGTAGAAAGCGGAAGGGTGAGACCTTGTTTATTCTCTGTGGCTGTTATTTATTTTTTTTAAAAGTGGGGAAAATTGTCAGTCTCTGTCCCCCCTTTTTCCTCACGCCGCATCTGTAGTTTGACCGTGACATTTCAAGCAGGATCTTCCCTCCTTCTTGGGATCCTAGGAAGTCCATTCCTGTATCTATTGCAAATGTCGATAATACAGAAATACATTTGGATTATTATCATCTTCCAGATCCTGTTGCTTCTTCCCTCCCACCCAGAGTGAGACCCAAAGTTTAGTCTTTCAGAGAAATGAATGCAGAGCATAGGAGCTGGAGAAAGAACACTATTTTGGAATTCTAGATAGATGAGAGCTTGGTTGATGGTGGCCATGTCTTCTAAATTCCCGCAGCGGGCCCTTTCCTCTACACCAGTGTTTCTCAACCTTGGCATCTTTAAGATGGGTGGACTTCAACTCCCAGAATTCCCCAG